AATACAGACAACCGGAGCAGGGAACGTTGGTGCTACAGCTTATGTCGAAAGGATGGAGGACTGATCCCAGTGAGGGCACGATGCTACATGAGAGACCGTCAGGACTGATGGAGGCAGAGGTGCTGGTAGGTGGTGTGACCGGAGCGTCGGTGGATCCCACAGCTGCGGCTGTAGTGGTAGCAGCTGCGCCCTCTGTGGAGGGAGTTGGACTCACCACGGACGACGACGACGACGTCTTGATGGTGTACGTTGTGAACATTGGCATATTTATCCCTTGATTTCCAAAGAGAAAGAGACACATGTTGGATGTGAGTTACTTCAACCAGATCCAATTTTGGTATGAACTGATATATGACATATACGCACCAGTGGTCACTACCACAGTGACATCTTGACCCTGACTCTCGGCCAGGCTGAGCTTGTGTTGGCTCACAGTGTACTCAGTCCCACCATGCTGCGTCTGTGTGAGTGGCCTTTTCTCAGACTCTCTGTAGCAGCTTCTGGTCTCTGTCTGTAAAAAAAACAACAAAAAAAACGTTACAAACACGTGTGGTAGCTGTAAACATTTATTTATTTCTTTTTAATTCATTTAGTTAGTGTTCCTTACAGGCCAGTTTGTGTAATCTTGTGGATCCTCAATGCTCCACACCACGGTCGGACAACCAGGAAAGCAGGTCATTGTAATTGTTGCATCTCTGTTTGTCTGTACTGGGTCACAGCCGCTGGTGCAGGTGAGTCTACGGTACAACAAATACACATCACTTTGGTGAGTATATAAAAATATGTTTTCTTTTTTTTTTTTTTTTTTAAATCTCAATCTTCTGAAATTAAATAGACTGGTAAAACCACACAATAATATTAATAATAATACATAATAATAACATACAATGATAATGTGATTTTTGAATGGATCCTTACGTTATCCAATGTTCCAATTTATGTGCAGTCAACGTGATGCATATGGAGTCTGTCTCAGTTTCCACATTGTTTTCTATCACAATAAAATGATACCTAAAAAATTCAAATGGTTCTGGAAGGCAGTCTTCAGTGATGGTGTGTGTCAGTTTGTTGAAATTTCCTGCACACTTACAAGGATTCGCTGTGAAATGACAAAAAAAAAAAAAAAAAAAAAGTCAACATGGCTGGGTAGGTTCTCAGTCATGGTCAAAGATCAGAGGTGAGCAGCTTGATGGACTTCATTCATTAAGAACATTTCAGGCTTGACAATTATACATTGATTTGCATGGAACATTTTTACTAAATTAACACAAATTGGATACATTTTATTAAAGCAGTGGGACCCAAATTTGGGGGCAAGATCTCTAGGAAGCTGCTGCAGGTGGAGCACAGCAAATTAATGAGGTGCAGATAAAGTTTTACAGCTTTTTTTTGCAGCTTAAATTTCAGTACCGGTAATTAAATGTTTGTCCACAGTGAACTGCACAGAATTGTGATTTTATGTTTTTTGACCACTGAGAAAGAGCATTTTGTAGCAATGATAGGGTGTAAATAATTTGAAGCAAAGGCTGTACATATATGTGTATATATATGTACATATATGTACATATATATGCATATAACTATATATTAGGGATGTCCATTGTTAACTTTTTGTCTATAGCTGGAAATAATAGATTAAATAAATGAGCTGCAATGCTGCCATCTAGTGACTTTCACTTTACTATACAGCAGTTTATCCCCAAAACTATTTTTAGGGCACACATCATTTGGCAAAACCCAGGCATTGGGTTATCGGGTCTTGATTATCGGAGAAAAAAAGCGATCACGATCCTTACAGATATGACATAATTATGTAAATATGGGGTCAAACCACTACTGCAGTAGTTCACATTGTACCTTTAGGGTTAGGGCAGTAGGTAGAAACTAAGCCTGATTTGCTGCATACTTGGCAGGAACATCGACCACTGTGTCCCTCTTAACTGAAGTAAAAAGAATTTCATTGCTATTACAAACACTTGATACTCACTGCATCGCCACAGGTGTCGTTTGTGTGAACCTGAAAGTGCAGATGGATCACTAATGGAGAGATGGATACTTTTAAATTTGTTTGTCACAGTTGGTGAAGGATCTGCTTCAATAGTCACTGGGTTTCTGACAACTCTCAAGTGTTTTTCTTCCTGCAGATATAAAAGCCTTCATGTTACCTAACGTGTCATGATACGTGTAGCTGCAAAATGTGTATATATTATTATGAGATATTAAATAACTTCACCTTCTTGGTTCTCGTCTTGTAAGTCCTGCCAAAGGCTTTAACAGATGTGTCACTGTCTCCAGAACCAGACGTATTTACGTCCACTTCCATAGAGGAGAAATGATTTGTTGCTCTGAGTCTCACTTGCCCACTTCCTGTGGCAAAAAATATAAAAAATGTCATTTGGTAAAAATTTAAAACATTCCTGTTTTTGAGTAGAGTTTCATACCTTGAATTGGCAGTTCAATGTGAAAAACTCCCTTCTTTGTGTTCATTTCTATGGTTTTGTAGAACGTGACATTATATCCAGTCACAGAGAAAAGCAGCAGCACAGGCGCTCCCTGCTCCAGGGAAACTCCAACGGAAACGTCGCCAACGTCCAGACACTTGCCTTTTTTCATCAGCATGTGGGCCTGGAGCCCAGCTACCTTCTCCACAACACACACCTGCAGGACAATAAATTATTCAATTAAAGTTTAAAGTATTTTAGGCGAATAAAATATATATAAATATCAAACACTTGTATTGCATATTTTTGTTGCAGTTGCTCAAGAAAAAAATTGCATCATCATGCTTTGTATAAACTTCCTTGCACTAAAGCAACCTGGAAATGCAGCATGAAGTTCCAAACATAAACCGTTTTTAGTTGATATAGAATGTCCACTGCACTTAGATGTCCCTGATACTTTGTGGTGGAAACAAATGTGAAATAAATGATGCTAGGAATCATCGTGTTAATGTTACAGAGTCGATGTAACTTCTCTGTGGTTCATTTACCTGCAGGTCTGTGGTTGCTTCAGGGAATGTGACCTTGTTGGATGCATGAACTGTCAGCAGGTGGCATCCAGGCCCCAGTTGCTTGATATTGTCAGACGTCATTGTGATATTGTGGGAAACATTTCCTCTGATCACAGATGAAACGGTTAGATTCCTTTCACCAAACTGGATTCTGTAGCTCACATTTGAACCTCCAGAAAATTAACAACATAGAAAATGATGGATTACAACAAACTCCTGGCAAATACAAATTGCTTTCAACAGTGCAAATCATACACGACGAAGTGATTTTTATTCAAATATTCATAGAGAGTGTAACTACCTGTTTTAGCTTCAGTTTGAATGCTGAGTGCTTCTCCAAACAGGACTTTACAATCATTTGCATCAAACCACTGATGTCCAACATAGCACCGTGTGGCGCTGATGTCGGTGACAGGCTCCAGGATGGAAATCATTTTCTCAACTGCAAGGTGGATATCTTTCCTGGTGCATTCAAGTGACACAACAAATGTGCCTGAATCCATATATTTATGCTGCACACTGCTGTCAGATCTGTTAAAAAAAAAAAAAGTTTAATGTTTAATTCCATTTATGATAACGGCATACTGTAGTGCAAACAAAAAGGACCGTACTCCAAGGAGGTTTTTGGAGTAATTGGTGCTGGAAAAACATCTCACATTTACAATCATTTTACCAACGTAGGTGTGACTCCTTTGACACTCGGCTACGCTGGTCTTAATCTGACTAACATCAGCTCTCACTCCACAGGTTTTACAAGGCTAATTTGCAAACATTAATAGGAATTACTGTCAATTTCTTGTTCTTTTTACAATTGGTTGACAATGAATAAATGCAAAAGAAGGGGAAAATGAGAACAAGACAGACGGAGGGCATTGTCCTGAACATGAGCACAAGGTGAAATTGTGACCTATTAAAATTTTATAGGTAGGAGGGTGAATAACAGTTATACAATCTTCACATTCATTTAAACGTTATATTAACTTATTTCAGAAATAGAGATGCTCAACATGACCACAGACAGTAAATCAGTCCAGGTGTGAGCTCAGATACTCACCCATCCCAGGAGAAAACGTGTCCATCTCCCGTGCTCAGCCTGCAGGCTGGATCTGCAAAATGTAAAAGCCACTTCATACTAATTGTGGTGTCAGTAAAAACAGCTGCCACGTTGTTTATGTCCAAGGTGAGAGCTGTGGGTCAAAAATAATCACAAATGAAAACATCTAACAAGCAAACAAAAAAAAATGTTGATAGAACCAACACAACACAGCAAAGATACTAATTAAACAGTATTATTATTACTATCTTTAGTCCTGTTTTTTTTCTCTTGGTAATGTTGGTTTAATTTGATGAGAAGCTTCTTATTAAAAAAAAAAAAAATTCTCCCCCAATCATTTTTTTTTCTGGTTTAAAATTTCACACCAATTACGAGTTAGCACACCTTTTATTATGCAGTGAACGTTATCCAAAAACTAAATTATAAATATAATAATATAAATTTATTTCAAGATTTGAAAAAAACAAAACAAAACAAGGGACTTTCTTTCCGTTGTGCGAATTTCAGTATAAGAATTCCACTGTAACCTACCATCTTTGCAGTGATAATCTACCATCAGGTAACTTCCCATCTGAGGGCAGGGTTCACTCAAGGAACTCAGGACTTCATCAACATGGCAAACCTGATGCCCTTGGCACTGATCTAGAAAAAAACATTAAAAAAAAACTCAACAGTTTTGAAGCACTTGCTTCAATTTTCTTATTATACATATTATTTTGTGCATTATTTAACGTGGTCAACTCTTTTAAACAGCAAGATTCAATTTGAAAACCACAATAATCACTGTCTCGTTACTAATCAACCAAGTACATTTAGATTAATACTGTAATACGAGGTCTCGCGATAATACAACCAAATTAGTCTCTGGGTACTGTTCTGTTTTTGCTATCAATTACAATTCACTGTGCAAAACACCAATATATTAAATTATTTGAAGATATTTTTTAAATATTTATCAATCAATAATTAAATATATACCAATATCTATTTAAAACAAAGACTCACTAACAAAGACTAACTTTGGTATTTGTATATTACTACAGTGTGAATGATCAATGAACAAGTGCATGCTGGGAGAAACTGCCTGTTTGTGCACTCAGTTGTATTCATGAGGTGATATTTACTCAAAGAGATAGGTATTATGTATGTGCCATTGAAGCCATTGAGCTTGTAGGTCATTATTGGACAACTTCTTCCATGAATGGCCGAACCGGTGTTTATTTTCTTTTTCAGAGAATAGATCTACAGTGGGTTATAATGTGCTTTGTGATATCTTCCTAGTCCTGGTTGAAATTTCATTACTGTTCTCATCCATGCAGAACTGTCCGACTGTTTGTTTTTCTTTTCAATATTTCCATCTCGAGTTTGTACAAGGAATAAGAGTGTTTCATGAACGCAAAAGCAGATTGGATCAGTTAACTGGATGGGGATTACGTCACCATACTGTGAAATGTATTTAATTTTTTTAACCTTTTTTTTTTTTTTTTTTTTTTACAACAAATCAACACAAAAACAAATGTTCTATGGACCGTTACCTTGGAGTAAATCGACAACATCCACCCACCCACAGTCCTGTTGTGAGGGGTTTGCTGGTGGAGAGTACCAAGGCTGACAATAATGGATGCTCTTGCGTCCCAAGAATCCCGCGTCTATTTTTAACACTTGAGCTGAGTCACATTGCAGAGTTTCGTTCTGACCTGTGCACACAATTGACCGAGCTGCATCTGGAAATAATACCATGCAAACAAAAGAGGTTAATTTTGGTCAATCCTGTTAAAATTCATATTGTGTTTTTTATAACAAGACTAAGTACATACCAAACTGGCAAATGAAATTCAGCTTTTTATTGCAGTCAACTGTGACTTCCCATTGGAAGCCGGAGTTTTTTAAAACGTGTCCACACACTGCTCCTGGCTGTGGGGTGCTTGCCCAGTTTGAGTAGGTGAGGTGTGAACCATCCAGCCAGGAAAGTGTGCCTGGGGGTTGAACACAAACCTGTTCAATACATCTAGAGATTTCAAAAAGCCTATTAAAATTCCACGGTTAGCAAATTTAAACACTTCTGGTACAATATATTCTATACAGCGATCGTGTGTATTGAAGTTTGGGCTACAAGAATTTATAATTAACAAATAATTGATAACAAAGTATGATGTTAACAGTCTTCTGTTCGTTTGCGTGGCCAGGTTTTGTTTTTATCCCCCTTGGGTCTGAAATAAAAAAAAATCAATAACTACTTATTACTCTGTTCAGAAAAGATCTGGGTATTTTCAGAATGTAGTAAATATCAATAGCAGTTCATTTTCTTTTTGAATATGGCATATGAAGATTTATTGTAGTACAAAAGGGGAAAAAGCTGTCAGTTAAAATGTCTTCCTTTAACATTTGGACTTCAAATTTTGCTTAAATTGCTCATGGTGGGTGAAGCAATTTCTCACTCTGTGGGAAAGCAAGGAAAATGCCTTACGCCAACTATAACCGAGAGAATAGTCATTTCAAAGAAAAACTAAGGCAATCATCGCAGCAGGTTTTTTCATTTTGGATAATGCAAACTACAATTCTAAGCTATTTGGAATAGTTTTAATGCACATAGCTACAGAATTTATATTTTTTAAATTGTCAAACACATCAGGCAAAAATGTTAAAGGACAGTGAAATCAACAAACCAATGACATATCTCCCTTCCTACCATCAGTTGCTGCAGGATATAGCATGTTTGCAGAAGCTGATGATGCTACGCCCAGCCATATGTCAATGTCAGAGTTCACTTGTTTCTGAAGAAACATCTGTGTGTCTTCATCCGGGATGAACGTCAGATGTCCTCCGTGTTCCTCACACCACGACTGAGCATCAAAAAAGGAGAGTTCCTTTGCCACAAACTCGTAGCAGGAGCCTCTGAAGGCCTTCTGAGGTTCACAAAGATCCAACTCATCTTCTGCACATGACAGGCACAAAAGTATCACGACAATCAGTAGCTGCAGAGATGTCTGGAACATCTTGTCTGCTTTTCCTCTAATTTTTTCCACTTCTTTTGGCTTTTACAGCACAGAAAGAAGTAACATGCTTTGCCTCCTCCAGTGATCTGATGCTGCAAACCAGCAGACTGGTCTAATATAAAAGCTTTTATTACTCCATCCTCTTACTGTATACAGGTTTACTTTGTTTACTTACGGGACAGACTTTTTCATAAACCAATAAATGTACTATTATATACAGTGCACCCACTGGGCTGCAACAAAAGAAAAACCAGGTGGAGTTTCAACCACCTGGGTGAGGCATAAAGTAAACACAACTAATTGTTAAAATGCAATGCAGTATGTTAATTTACCCATGATAAGTTGAAGCAGTATTTAATAAATAAATATAGTAGTGTCACAAGATAACAATGCTATTCGAAACAATTAAAAATTTTGTTGCACACATGGTGGTGTCCAATGATAAAAAAAAACATATCTTAATAGAGTCAAACACGTTTTGACAGAAGATGGAGCTGAGCCTAGTGCAGTATTCGTCATATCTTTTGTTGGTTTTGCCTGCCACCATGTGGCGACAATGAGCAAACGCATGAGTTTAACTACATCCCGATTTTATATAAATAAAACATAATGAATGAATGAAAAAACGGGACTCACTGTATAGTGTTTTTTTTAAATAAAAAACTAAAAGTACCAATTAGTAAAGCGAAGGACTTTTATAATAATAACACTATTTTTTATACTCACCTTTGAAGACTTACGTCACAGGGACTAGTGGTCATTTATTTTATTTATTGCAGTTTAGAACCAAGACTAAATCCATCTGCTTCTGTCAGATGTGCTGGTCTTAAACCTAGCATGACAAGTTTAGAATTCTACCAGGCAACAATACCTATATCATATACATAAGGTATGATTTTATTCCCAAGATTTACAACGTAAAACGTAACGTAAAAGCCTACGACTTATAACTTCACCAATCTCGTAATGTGGTCCTAATATCTCATGTTTTATAAACACAAAATACATTATATTATACTCGCCAAGAATGAGACAAGAACACCGTTCCGGAACAACGCACTGTAAGGAGCAAACGAAGAAGAAATGTTTGTAGTAGTGATGTGCGGATCGATCCTGAAATATCGATACTTCCGATTCTGGATCTTTATGCTCTGAAATCGATTCTGAAATCAAAATATCGATACTTTTGATACTTACGCATTCTGAGATGAGGTGTATCCTAAACAGAAACATGGTGAAAAGTATCCAAATTATTGAGATGTTGTCTAAGTGACGCTCGGTTGGTGGGACTACTTCTTCTTCCGCCTGGGTGTGTGCGTCATGCGTAAGCACAGGGGCTCTACTCCGTGCTCTCACTCAGTCACTATTGATGGGAATTTCGGCTCTTTTTTGGAGAACCGGTTCTTTTGGCTCGGTTCACTGAAAAAATCCGACTCTTTCGGGTCCCAAATGGCTCCTCAGATTATTTATTTTATTTTTTTATTTATTTTTGTTTTACAAATAACATGTTTTCAGAGTTTGAAACATTGTTTTGACATATTTTATATGATTGTGTTCTCAAGGTTTTCTATTGTTGTGTTGACTGTATAGTAAATGAGGCAGCTACCTCAGTACACTCCAGAGTTTAAAATAAATAAATAAATAAAAACCTCAGCCTCGGATTCTTAAAGAAGCTATGATTTGAAATACACATGTTTTATTTAAAAGACAAATGATAAAATATCGATAACGGTATATGCGCATAACTTTGATTAAATCAAGGAAATCCTATGGTTTGATGCCTTCTCTGTTGTACACACGATCAGGTTATTTAACAAAACACTCAAATCCACACAATAATCAAAAAAGCTAAGTCAGGTTGTCAGTGATTTGGCACAGTTTTTCAAGCTGTACAATTCAACACATCTTTAGGTGATTTCAGTGCTATAATTACACAAATTCATACGTTGTACCAGTTGCAGTTATGGTTGCGTATTTGTGCAGTTTCTATGAATGAAATACAAAAGCAAGTACTCGGATTACATTTAGTGGATAAATATTTCTAGTCATTTACAAGAAGCACAACTTCACATATCACCCATTGTGAACGGTTTTTAAATGTCTGGAGCATGAACCAAAGCAGTGGCATGAAAGAGAAAGTGCAGAGAATAGAGGTAGAAAAGATTGAGTCACCAAAATCTGAACAGTCTCTACTTTACCCTAACACAGCATTTAACAAGATCAACATCAGAACCAGTCGTACAGCACACCCTTATTGAGACTCTATTGTGATTTTGTTTGTTCTGTGCCTGCAGTGGTGGGATCAGCAGGTAAATGCCATGCAGTTCTTCTGTAAAAAGTCATTGTAAAGATTGTCCTCTGTGCATCAGAAAAAAAAAGGGGAAACACGTTATCAATCAGTGTGCTGTTGGTGAGCTGAAGCTGTGTGGGTGTCACACCTTCAATGTCTGGCTGATCCCTAACTCTTCACACAACAAATACAATTAACCTCAAGTTGAATTTGCTAATTACTGTACAGTACAGATTAGATAAAGGTCTAAACTGTCACCGTCCAAGGCCTAGAACTGTGTTCAACCTGCTGTAGGTCAAAACTCTAACCAAATACTAAATTATCACCTTGACAGGTATCATACAGCCACAAGAGGGCGCACAAGCAATATGTAGGACTTAATTTCTCTCTGTGCAAGTGGGTGGGTGCACACAACCAGCAAAAAGTCTTCCTTCAAGGGGAAACAATACACAACGGTACACACTGACAGTACTGTGAGCTGGTCAGTTGACTCTGGGTAAACATGCCTTTCTCACTTAAGACCTGAAACCACTTGCTTTAAAATGTTATGTTGACTGTCTGATAAGATTGAAGCGTTAAACACAGATTAGCCTTGGACCAGAGTGACTGATCTCACCGACACCTAATCTGAGATTTTCACACTCTCAGTACAAAACCGGACAGCAAGTATTGTCGTTACATTTCACCAATAATCTACAGCAATATGTAAAACATCATTTACAGTATTTGCACACTATAGTAAACAGTTTTATTATTAACTTTATTCAACAGTGATCGTCCTATACTTTAACTATGGGCTACATTCAAAGGAAGCCTGTTTACGCCGGCTTTGGAATTGCTATGACTATGCAGTGACACGTGACCTGTACGTCCAAACAGTGTAACAAACATATTTACATACTGTGCATTCTGTATTTACATGATATCAGTAGCGTAGATGTGCTTCCACAGGTAATCTTTGTCGTTTGGCCTGAATTTGTCTCAGTTTTCATCATTGATCGCCTCAGTGAGGCAGTTCAATAATAAAGGAAAATCTACCACAAAAAAAAATACAACCTGTGAATCCTGGACAAAAAAAAAATCACAACCTGTGAATCCTGGATTAATCATGTTTTATGAGTATGTTAGAAAAATGGATCACAGTAAATAACTTATTGAGGCCTGCCTGAGTAAACATAAAGTTGCCCTATGTGCCGTTGTCGACAAAGAAATAATGTTTAATGTAAAACTTGTTTGACAATTGTGCTAAATTTCTACCAAACAACACTGATGTAGGGTTGAAAATGTTGCCCGCTTGTGCTTGAGAATCTGTATGATGGTCGACTGCACAGGATACCATTTGAAACACAACAAACACACAGGCTCAAACAAGCGAGAGCCTGGAGTTCTAAGGTTATGTTTGATGTGGTTCAAATGTTTGTCCTCAGTGGCTCCTGTTCGCTTGACTTGTGCTGCGCTTTAACGCAAACTGAAGCCACTTTCGTCATAGTAACAGGTGTTTATAGCCTTACAGAGGGAACAGCGTTTGCTAACTCAGCACCCATTCTCTCTCTCTCTCTCCCACTCTTGCCTACACTCGCCCCTTTTCTATAGTCTGTCCAGACTGTATCATGGCTGCACGAACGTTAGAATGGTACTGAGAACACACCCCTCACAATACTTACGGATTATAATGACACTATAAATAAATAAATAGATAAATAAATACAAATTCTGGTTTGTTAAGCTAGGTTTGTTTTTTGTTTTTTTTTACCATTTTAGCAACATAATCTGTATTTACCTGTTAAAAAAAGAGGAAATTAAATGAATTTGTTTCACTAATTTATCATTGAAAATAGAAGAATTAAACAGAGGCGCAAAAAATTCATTACTGCTTCAGTCATTTCCTACTCCTTTATCTGACTCGTGTGCTGTTTGTAGATGTGCATGGATTTGTGTTCATGACGTTGTGCAGTGTCAGATCTGTGTTCATGTTAGTGACAAGAATAAAAGGGAGGGACACAGAAACCAGTGTGTGTTGAATACGTTCTTTTTTTTTTAGGCCTGTGTGTGAAGCTGCTCCTCCTGTCAACACACATCATCCTCTTTCACTCAAAGCGTTCATAGTTCCTTGTCTGCCTCACACGGGGGACCATGTCCTTAAGGAGTCTGCAAGGACAGGATCAAGGTTTGAATGCAAAGCGGGAACAAAAAAAGCATATAATTTATCAAATTTAATATTTTCAATAAATATTACAAATGCATTTCCATAGTATTAAAAATAAAATAAAATATAAATATAACTATATTTAATTTAATTCAATTTCATTTTGTCATGTTTTTCCATACACCAAGTGTTGGCATATTGTATAGAAATAATATTTTTTTATATTATATTTTTTAATATAGACCAATTAAAAAAAAAACATTTCTCAACCTCTTTGTTAAAGCATATGAAAGAACGGTTCAAAATGTACAGATGGTAATATATGGCTGTTGGTTTATTACTCACTTGACTCCATATGCCAAAATGATTAGAGCAATAATAACTCCAATGGTGCCGTCCAGAAACCAGACGTCAGGATGGTTCTTATAGACCTCAGCACTGACCAGAATGGAAAACCCCATCACGGCTCCAATCAGAGAGTTAAACCCTTAAACACAGAACGAGCAAAGGTGAAAAAAAAAAAAAAAATCAAATTCAAGGCTTTTGTCGTAATTCAAAATTTAGATTTAATGAATAATTGTTAACCATAGTTTATAACATGTTTTTGTACAGTATTCTGGTTGATTGTACAACTTACATCTAATGAATAATTGTTCACCATAGTTTATAACATGTTTATGTACAGTATTCTGGTTGATTGTACAACATGTTCCATCTATAATTACACATGTGCATTTGTGAATGCTTGCAGCCTGGTTTATTGTCTTGCTTGCAGTTTGTGCAAAGTCTTGAGGGAAATTTTGTCAGCTCTGAAAAGAGCAACCTCAGGTTTACTGGATTGATCTTCTGTGTGCTGTGAGACCTGGACGTCACTTTGGTGTCTTTGGTCCTTCACACCTTTGTGCTCCTGTGTATGTGTCTGTAACCCACCATTATTTAATATCTCTTTTGAAATGTAGTGTATTTTTTTTTTTAATTTACACTATTTCCCATTTATATTTTCTATTTCCATCTGTTAATTGTATACTTGAAAAGACTTGAAAATAGCTTTTATTTAAATAACTTTATTTTGGTTCATTATCTTACTTTTTCAGAGTAAAAATCAAGGTCAATTATGATGCAAAAATTAATTAATAAAAAAACTGTTATAATAAATATCAACCTAGAAAACTAGTGCTGTCAATAATACTCTGAACTGCATGTACGTATTTAGTTGATATGTTGTGTTTGTGACTTACCGTCAGTGAGAAGTGCTCTGCTGGTTAGAACTCTTCCGAGCATGAACTTGGCCACAGCCAGCAGAGCACACGTGAGTCCACTTACTATGGACACACTGAAGAGGAAATCATCCTGACGGAGCACAAAAAAAAAAAAGAAAAAAATTTAAATATTTCCACTAACCATCAAATCTTTTGTCTGATGATGACATGTGTCAAGACCATTCAGACAAAGGTCACTCTGAATAACAATGAATATGTAACTGATTTATTTTTCATGTGAGAATGGCATGGGTTGGATTTGAAAAATAAAATCAGATTTTTACCATTACAATTTTTTTACCTGCAGTGTAAACGTAGCCTGGATAAAACGTTCTGCCACCTACTGGTCTGATTAATACATTTTTCAACACAGCCAATAGAAGAAGGTTTTCATCGTGTCTCTTATTGATCTATCGTCTTTGACAATCTAATGTGATTTAAGGTTGGATCAGATGCTAAGCTGTAGGTGTTAGCATTTTTGTATGCACTGCTAATTGCATTTGCCCAGATGTTTGATCAGTCAAACACCACATGCTGCCAGTGCAGCCGTGTCCTCCGGAGATTCATAAATAAACTGACAAGTATCTGCCAGAAATGAGAGGGTTTCATAAAAAATGAATTTGGTATTTAAAGTTTTTAGTTTCGTTATTGTTTCTCTGTGTTGTGATTCTGTTCACTTGTTTCACTTGTTTCTGGGTTTTTTGTGTTTTGTCCTCGTTTCCCCTGTTTACCAGTTCTTCTTGTTTATGTCTTTATTTTGTGTCGTTTGTCTTTCCTGGACGCCACTGTTCTTGTTCCCATTTCTTGAAAGTCTAGGGTTCTTTTATGTTTTCTGTTTTGCGTGTCTGGAGAATCAAACCCTGCAACGAGATCCTACGATAAAACTTTCTCTGTCTATTTCAGTTTCTCTTGGGATAAACAGGCGAAGAGGATACGTCATTATAAATTAGTCTCTGAAATAATGTCCTGAAATGTGTGACATAGATTTTGTTAGGATGCAAAGAAGGTGGAATTTGGCATCAGAATATATTACTCCCCGAATTCCCGAGAAGGTGGAGGGAGAGAATCTGAGCCCAGGCAGTAGACAGAGAGGCAGACACGAGAGCAGCAGCTCAGGACGTGATGTGAATCAAGATGACTGATTTCAGCAGCCTCGGTCTGCTCAGTGGGAAACACAGGCAAAGGAGGTTCATCACATGTTACAGTGAACACACTGGTGTTTCAGTTTTGGTCACGGTCAATCTGTTCAGGTCTGTTTGGACAGAAAGACTGAAGTGAAAAAGCCAACGATAAGACATTCGATGAAAAGTCAAATAAAACACGGCTGTGTTCATTCAGAGTAAAAGCCGAGGCTGAAACTGTAAGAGAACATTACAGAGGCAGACGCGACACAACTTTAATTTAAAGTTAAACATATTGTGTTACTTTCTGCAGCTAGGTTCTTTGTATGGATTCATAGCGTAGCCGTTAGCGTCCTGGGTTTGATTCACAGAACAACGACATATTGGCAGCTCCTGTAGCAGCTAGTGTTGGCACCAAAGACTCACGCTGTAGATTTCTGTTATTTACATTATTATTATTATTATTATTATTATTATTATTAGACATCTGTATAAAAGCCTTGTTTCTGTGTCTTTAGGTTTAGAAGAGGACGAGGACGAGGACGAGGGTGGCTTCCTAGCCAGAAAAAAAAGAAGCTCCAGAAGAAGTAGAGTCAAGAATGGACCTGAATGTTTGTCAGTGGTGAGTAGTTAACTTTGACCTTGACCTTGACCTTGACCTCACAGGCTACAATATAGTTTGTGTTTATGTGGTGCTACACTAAAAGAGCAGCCGTGCGTAGCTTTTTCGTTGTTTACTTGCTGTCCGTTTGTTACAAATATATGTACCAAGACACAAACAAAGTCAATTAAACATATGTCCCTGTCAAAAGGTTGTAATGGAAAACAATACCCCCCCCCCCCCCCCCTACCTCCCCAGGGAAATTTTCATAGGCTTTGTCAGAGAATCTCTTGGTAGTGTCCCAACCGTCCTTGTGGTTTTGGACTGGGATCACTTCCAGCATTCGGTCGTTTGCTGTATCATGTCCTCCGTCTCCTGTACCTGTCATCTCTACCCACTGTCCTTTCTAATATATTTTCACAACAGAAAAAACCAAACAAACTGTATTTCCTCAGCTGCTGGCTGGACTTCTCTTCATTAAAACGACCGTGTGCCGTCCCTGATGTAGTCGTAGCTCAGTCAGAGGTAAGAAGAGTAACTCGGCAAATGAAGCTGTCATTCACACGGCTTGGTCTACTGAGCCAGTCAGCCGAGCAGCCAGTGACGGCGTTTAGTACAAAGACAACGGCAGATGGTCCAAATCTCTCTGGAACAGGCAGGATATCAATTAAATTTCGCAGGCTGCTTTAAGAATCTTTCACAATATGGCGTTTCGCCGTCTGCCCAAACAAGAGGAGATCTGCACAGAGTGACTGAGCATTAACGAGGAAGCAGGGCGAGATGAAGGACGGCGTTGGCAGGAAACAAGTGCAGGTTGAAAGAGAGGAGAGTGAGCTGTCGAAGAAAGGCTAAATGTCAAAGAGGAAGACGGATGTAATGGGCTTTTGATGGTGTCACGATGCTCCTGCGAGACCCTACACCCACTGAGCCCATTAACATGTTGACACTGGAGCGTGAGCCGCCGCCGTACTCTCCCCGCTTCAATAGACACGCCGGACCATTTCTGTCAAAGAATCGTAGGTGACACGGCACCTGCGTACATCATCATCATCATCATCATCATCATCATCATCATCATCATCATCATCATCATCATCATCATCATCATCGTACATGTCATTTCTTGCAGACCCATCCCTGGACTGACCCAACGTCTCTAGAAAAGTCCATATTTTTTTGATTGCCCACCAACAACAATCGACTGAGGATAAAATTATTTACCCATTTACAAAGAAATGGAATTAACACGATAGAGACTGTCTTAACATCATCCCGCAGAGCTAAGCAGGAGCAGGAGACCATTTTAGATCCTTATTCATAGATTTGACACCTCCACATTGGTGTGTGTGTTTGTGTGAGTGAGTGTATTTTTTGCAGGAAAGGAAAAAAAAACAGAGGTCTAAAAAACACCAAGGTGCCAGAAGAAATACCAAACATAAATATATATATATATATATATATATGGATTCTTACACATACATCTGTATTTGCCAAACATGATCCAAATATCACATCTCTATGTTTTGATAATATCTTGTTAGACAATATATCTCTACGTGGGGATATATGTAGGAACATTATTTTTATTTTTAACTTTTTTAAAATCCGTATTTTGTCAGGCCAGCTGCTGCATTAAGGAGAGCTGAAGTTGAGAAGTCACTTCAAGTTTTCATGTAAATAATTCTAACAGGAACAGCTCTAAACAGACCTGCTCACACTGACGCTCCACTCCCCCAGTCTCTCACTCTTTTCAAACACACACACTCCCTTCTGAAAAGTCTAAAAAGCTGCAAAGTCGACCGAGTCACAAAGTATCGTATGACTAAGTTGGGTTGTTAGTAGCTAGCATCATCCCTAGCCTTGCTGTCACTGAGGGGTGGGTGTGTGGGTGGGGCAGGTAGTGGAAGTTACTTACCACTTCTGGGAGCATCCTGGTCGCCAGATTATGGATGGCCTTTCCAAGGATGCACAAGGAGGAGAGAATAAACACAATCCCGAGGACAACGCACGCACTGCAATAAACAGACGACAAAATGTCAGGGAACAACAAGCTCATATTTTGTCCTTTCACTGCAGCAAAATCCAGACGAACACGACAACAAAGAGCTGAAGATGAAAAAACTGCTTTGATATGTTTCTGTGATTTAGTAAAATGACAACTAACTTGAACGTATCTCAAAAACGTATAAAATAAATATGGATGAACATTTAAGGATATAATTAGCCGTATAACATTTTCCTGGAAGTGTGAACAGTGTGATATTTCAGCCAACCATCAGAACGAAGTTGAATTCAAACATTTGGCACCAATGGTCCAACAGTTCTCGCCCTATTTAGAGCAGCGTGTGCTGCCAGAACAAACGAGTGTGACTTCACACAGGAGTGACAGTTTGTTCCTCAGATATAATCCAGAATCCTCTCAAATCCTGCAGCACCACATTATTATTAGAAAGATCCCACAGCCAATCACCTGGCAGTTCACTGACTGTCTCTCCAACTGCTTATCATTCTTGAACGTCTCAACAAATGAAACAAAGGTCTGTGATCTGTATGATATTTCCCTCGTGACTGGCAGACACACAACTACAGTATGGTGTGTGTTTTTTTTATGGTAGTTTATTTTACATCACACCTGCAGATCAAGTAGATAAAATGGCTGCATCAATCTAATAAAATCGAATAAATTCCATTCGATCATGGATTATGTTTGTAGATGGACCAGATTTTGTGAATATTTTCCAACTACTGGCTCATCAATCACATTATCTCGCCAGGTGTAAGAAAATATTGATAAACTGAAATATCACAATATTTCATTTCACAGCACTGAATCAGTCGACATCTTCATGGCGACCTACTGGTCAGAGCCTGGATTTTATTTTTATTTTTTTCCCAATAATCAAGGGATGACGAGGAGCTGAAAGACTCCGTCTGGACAGGTATAACACAGACACACACATATAGACGAGTGCTCACAGTAATCCTTCTAACCCCCACAGAGTTCACGGTTGATACGATGTAAGGTGTTCCATCTTCTGTAACAAGACGAACGACACCGTGTGAAAAACCTGACGGCCTTTAAATGAACTCAGCTGATCAGAGCAGCGCCGAAAACTGATGGGTCAACAGGCCCGCGACCACAACGTTGGACAGTCAGCTAATACCATAGATGCTGTGGCTGATCTATGGTTTTAATTCTATTTGTTAGATTTTTGAATCATCGGTTTAATTAGCCGTTCTGTACTCACATGTACTCTCTGTGTGCTGAGTGCACGGCTGCTGCGTTGCTGTAGCGCCAGAGAACGATGATTGATGACATCACATCCAGCGTTGCATCAAACTACAGCAGGAGAGTGAGAGAGTGAGAGAGTGAGAGTAGGAAGAAAGAAAAGAAAAAAACCCGCAGCATTAGACATTAACAGCTTTGGTTTGTTACGAAGTCAGCAAACGTCTGACGCAACACAACTCCGACCAAAGCAGCTAAAATAACAACGGACGATAAATATAGAAGCAACATCTGATCTGGAGTGTTGAAAGTAATGTTTTTTTTTTTGTTTTGTTTTTTACTGCACATGTTATTTACGCAAACAAAATAGATCCTGAATGAAAACCATTTGTTATAAAAAAAAAAAAAAAACTAAAATCTGGAGGCAGAAAATGTTAACTTTCTATAACATGAATTATATATTTAAATAAATCGGAAAAATAACTGATAATGACCAAAACCCAAAGTCACTTTATTCAGTATCCACTGCCTTAATATATATCATGCATATATGACTTAAATATCAAGTCATATTATTTTAATGTGTCAATCAAACGGCAATATCTTTGGAACACTTCTACAGGAAATTAAAGACTAAATGAATCTTTAATTATGCCATTACTTTTCCAGGTAAATTACAAAACTCACCAGGATGAATCCACTCTGTGTCACAGAGCCCTGAGCATTTACTAACTAATTACTAACACTGACGGTTATTACTTTTATTGTTTAATATAATTTGCTAATTTTTTCCACGCTTTCCACTGGAATGAGGATAATTTTTTTTTTTCTCTTCCACTGAACAATAATAAGTGAGACGCCTGTCATTGGCAGAGGCGGCTCGTCTCGTCGGCACAGTCTCAGTTCAACTCCCAACCTGCGGTCTGTGCAGGGTAACTTCCATTTGCCCTGTTACCTTGGAGACAAAAGCATCCACAACACCAGAGTGGCCGGGTTCACAGAGGAACCAGCACGACTGAAGTCATGACTAATTGATCAGTGAAAGGTGGAGGGAAAGAAGGAGGGAGGGAGGGAGGGACTCACGGCAAATCCAAAAGCGGACGCACTGTGTCTCATGAAGGATACAGCTGTGGAGAGAAAGAGAGAAGGAAAAAAAATGAGCATCAATGCAGAAAAACAACAACAACAACAACAACACAGTATTGATCCAGTCATGTAAACAGATGAAGGTTTGTTTCAGCAGCGACACCAGAGGCGACAGAACAGCAGCACAACAACAGGAGCTGCTTTTTCTCATGGGAGATAAAGTACTATCTAAGACCAATCATTTGCTGTGATCATATTCAGCTTCTGCACCACGTCCATGTTCATCTGACCTGGATTACTGGTTATATTGTTAACCTAATCCTAGGTTTTCTAATCCTAGTTTTAACCAGACTAAGCCTGTTTTCAGACTCTACTCTAAGGTGAACATCATCGTTGTGTCTGTCCCTTCTATTCTACAATGTCACGTCCTTCTGCTCGTCCTTGTTTGTCTCCGTACCCCATCCATCCCCCTAGCTCCCCATCTCTCTCTCTATGTCTCTCTCTCTGTGTCTCTCTGTGTCTCTCTCTCCCCCAGTTTTAAGAACAGGGTCTCAGGGGACACCGTATCGTTAGTCAAATCTCCATGGTAACAAGAGATTTCAGGGCAGGCTGGGACTTGGTTTGAAGTAAACACAGCTTTCATTATCCTCACCCTGCTTGTAGTGTTTGCCCCCCCACACCCCCCCCGACCCCCCCGATATGTTTTCTCCTCAAATGTCTTTCAAAGGTCATTTATTAGTGGACTGTCGTTCATTTATCGTCTCCATCAACACGGAGCAGACGCTGCATTTTATTGACATGAATCAATTCCTCAGTTTATGCTTAATATTTTATTTGATGTTAATGAAAAACAATAACTGCTGAACTCCAGTTATTGGCAGTGAATCACAGCGATGGATGAGAGAGAAAATGGAGCTGGAAAAGGTGAGATATTAGAGCGACAGCAGAGGAGAGGGAGGCTGCAGACTGACCCAGACTGACCCAGACTGACCCAGACTGACCCAGACTGACCCAGACTGACCCAGACTGACCCAGACTGACCCAGACCCAGGACACCTGGTACTGGTCAGGCTGGTACACACATGTACGCCGTCTCTGAAACTAACGTCCCGCTCTCTCACCCCTCTCTCGCCCCTCTCTCACCCCTCTCTCCCTCTTTTTCACTTCCATTCTTTAGAGTACAAAGACTTGTTGAAGGTCACTAGGTCGTCTGGACCAAACAGAAAAATGGGAAAATTGACAGCCCTGTGTGTGTGTGACCAAAACTGCAGCGACTACTGTGAAATTTCTTTGTGATAATTTGGTTCATTTTGGAGTCAGTGGAATTTCATGTACCTATGAATCCTGTCCTGCAGGTGTGGGTCAACATTGATACAGTAAATGTTACAACAGACTGCAGTTTGTCTTCAAATGTCACAGACAACTATCGGACTGATACATGTTCTGATCAGGTGCTCATTGTTGTTGTTGTTGTCAACGTGTTTGTCCAATCATCACACAGACGCTTGGCTTCGACACACGCTCACTTAAAATGTTCTGTTCAGTGACGTTGACCAATAGAAGCCGATGAAGCTGAGCTTCAACAGGGTATATATGCACCAACACTACAGCAACAAAAAAAAATCAGCCAAAAAAAAATTGATGAAAAAAAATTGACAGCCCTGTGTGTGTGTGACCAAAACTGCAGCGACTACTGTGAAATTTCTTTGTGATAATTTTGGTTCATTTTGGAGTCAGTGGAATTTCATGTACATATGAATCCTGTCCTGCAGGTGTGGGTCAACATTGATACAGTAAATGTTACCACCCAGTGAACAACAGACTGCAGTTTGTCTTCAAATGTCACAGACAACTATCGGACTGATACATGTTCTGATCAGGTGCTCGTTGTTGTTGTTGTTGTTGTCAACGTGTTTGTCCAATCATCACTCATTGTCCAACACACTCACTTAAAATGTTCTATTCAGTGACGTTGACCAATAGAAGCCGACAGGGTAGATATGAACCAACACCACAGTAACAAAAAAAAAATCAGCCAAAAAAAAATTGAACGAAAAGCTTTAGTGACCAACGTTTTAGTAAATTAAAGTGAAGAAAAATGACATTTTGTTTAGGACTTTTTTTTTAGTTTTTAGAGGAAACTTTTCGGTGCTGTCGCCACCACCGATTCACCGCCATCTACATATTTATAACTGGTTCTAAATTCTGTTCCATTTTATTTGCCTGCAGCATTGTCCACACTGTCACAGACACAGTGTTCAGGCAGCGAGACGGATGACGACGGAGAGTGACATAAATGTCACGCAGACCTGGAGTGAAGAAAAGAAATAAAAAAAATTAAAAAAACAACTTTGATGAATGTGAGAGTTGGGTTTTTTTTGTAAATTAATAATTAAAAGTAAACAATTATTTACTTAGTTTAATGTTTCTCTTGTTTCAAATTTATTAGCTTTAAAAAACAGATTTTCTGATCGATACAGATCTCTTTTTTTTTAAATGCCTAAAATAATGTGAGAAAAAAACCCCACATTCATGCTGTGATTAACTGCACAGGGGTGAGATGATCTGACCTGAGTCTGTGCTCATAGAAGTAAACTGAGTTTTGGCTCAGGATCCTGTCGTTTAACTCTGTTATATCCTCTTATTTAACTTTACGTTCAGAAAAATCTGGGTGATTTTGTGACCTGTGGTGATTGGCTCACGGATGTGAAAAGCCTCAGAGTGTGACTGTCTACATTCCACGAGGAGCTCAGAGACAAATCAGCACTGACCCGTAATCAGTCATGGGTTTAGTCTTGTTTCATGTTGTTAATCTGGTGTTGACTACGACAGCGACCCAAACGTATGTCTGTCTCTGAGTCTCACCACGACCTCACGTCCTTCACCTGCGTCGCTTCCGTTTGGTTTTCATCAGATCTGCTTGTGTTTGCTCCACGTCTGCCAGAGTGCAGTTAAAGGGCAGTGATCATTTACACCTGGTCATTAAACCCACTTCCTGTGTTTCAGGCCATTCGCTGTGAGCAAATCTATGTCTTTGGCAAGAAGTGCCAACGCTGTATGTGGCAGCCCTTCAGCTGGTTAGTTAATGATGGAGGCAAGTGTGCATGAGCCGTGCTAACAAGAGACGGAGAACGGAGAGGGGAGGAGGTGATCGCAGTGGAAAACACAAGTGGTGGGAGACAATGGAGGAGGAGGAGGAGGAGGAGGATGATTGAGGAGATTCATATGAGAGGAGTGGAGAGGGGGGGTAAGAGGAGGAGGTGAATGCAAGAAGATGTAAGATGGGAGAGGAGGGAGAGGGAGACAACTTAGTAGAATTTAGAATCGAGGTGATGCACGAGGAGATGAGAGGAGGGGGGGAAGGAGAGGATAAAAGGGGAGGAGGAGGTTGTTGCAGTACAGAAATGAAGACAGGAGAGAGGGATATGATGGAGAAGGAGGATGTTTGAGAGAGAGAGAGCAGTGGTCTGTTCTCTATAGTGACCACAGCTCAGTGTTTACCAAAGCAAAGATGCTAAAATGCTAACAAGCTAACAAGCTACTGTCCGTTTCAGTGAATAAATGGCCACATCGTCAGAGAACGGTGACGTTGCTCACATTTAGCACCAACAGTGACTAAAACTTGGCAGCAGTTGAACCCTAATTAGCAGTGAATTATGGGAGAACCGGTGCCAGTTCTGAGAACCACAGTGCCACTCCCCCC